TGTAATTCCAGATCATTGACCATGCTGTTTGGAGATGGCATGCGTGTGTGTGTGTTCTATGCTGTCAAGGTGAACCGACTTATAGCAACCCTAATAGGGCTTTCAAGGTGAGATATTTAAGGTATGGTTTTATGAGTTCCACTCCTCCAGTCAGTTTCCATGGCTCAGCAGGGATTTAAACCCTGTTCTCCAGAATCTGAGTCCACTACACCACAATGGGAATATTCTAGTCCGAAACATATACATAGTACCATACTGTCTACACACTCTTAAAAGCTAGTGGATATATTATGGCATAACCTTTAAGATTATCATGCTTTCAGTCCTAAATCCAGGTTAACATTGTCTATAAGGACTCAGCCATTCAGAACTATCCGTTTCTGACATCTGTTCTGCTATCAGACTCAGGGCTATTCTGGCTCTAAGGAAGGCGTGGAAATCTATGACCAGGACCCGAGCCTTCTCAGTGGTGACCACCATTTTGTGGGATGCCCTGCTGGGCACCAAGCCACCTTTCCTCCTAGCATTCCAGAAACTAGTAAAAACGGCTTTTGAGAGAAGCCTTCCGAGATATCCTCCCTTCATGATAGTGTTTATACCTGTACCATAATTTTAATCTTGTTTTAGGCTGCTGTCACCACTGGGGGTTTCTTTCTGAGATTGTTTTTCAGATTATCTGTTGATGGGTGGGTTGGCTGGAAGTTTTATATTTATGTTGTAAATCACACAGAGTAGTAGCATGCTATTAGATGGGTGATATAAAAACGAAAGAAGGAAGGGAAATGTTGCGATGGAAGTATGATTTATTTTTGCTGTTTTAACACAGAACTAATGGAACATTATTTGTTGGCTTTCCCTGCACCCCAATAGAGTAAAAAAAATAAACAGGGTTATATGTTCAGGAATTGAAATGGAGCCTTCTCCTAGAATAAGTGTTGAAAACCTACTTCCTTTGGAAATTGCTAGCAGGTTGAGCCTGCAGTTATATCCCTTCTCTGGTAATTGTTCTGAGTTCACTCATCTCATGATTCATTATTTTATTCTAACCCCTTAGCTAAATTACACTTTTGTAACCTATCCTTGCTAATCCATTATATCCATATATAATGTATGGAGGCTGCTCTGATGAAAGAAGTGATTCATGTAAGGGCAATGCTACACATGACACAGACATTCGTTTTCATGATCAAATGTCACTACATGTTTTGTTTACTTTAAGGTTACTGCAGGAGCTTCATTTCTGATCAGAGCAAAGACAGTGTTGTCTAAGCTTCTCAATCCTTTTCTTCTGAAATAATCTCTCTGAAGCTCTGAATGTGAACCCACATTCTTCCACTACACAATTTCCAGCTTCATGGTCATGAAAGAAGATTAGACGGTCTGCCTTTACTACTTCAAATACACCAGCCTCTGTAGTACCACACTGGTTTAGAGTTATATGTGCATTGTTTGTTAAACTTTTGCACAGAAATCTGGGTGGATTCATTAGTTCATTTGCAGTCAGTGGAGAGGTTCCAACCAACTCAAACACCACCTGGATCCTGTATTTTGTTTGACTCTGCTAATTTTTAGCACTGATGATTGAGATGGAGCCAAGAATCAAGTGATGCTAAAAAGTATTATTTTTGCTTCATCTCTACTAAACTTGTGACCCTTGTATCCCTGTCCAAAAGCAATATATTCAAGGAAACAAGTGGAAAAGGAGGAAAGATGAGGGCAGTTTGAGGTGCTCAGGCGAATCTCAAACAACCAAAGGTTCCAACCCCCTTTTACTCTCCTGCCACCTGATGCGCAGACTTCAAATATTAATGGAATGCTAATTGTGACTCCCTGACCTCCAGTCTTTCTTCTGTTGGCATTTACCACATAATACGGTTTTCTGGCTGCCTCTAGACAGGTTGCATTCTCCAGTTTTTCCTCTTTTTAAGATGAATACCTTTTAGTAATAGTCACTGGTCAGTTATAAAATGTTGATCTTTCTAAGGACCAGATCATAGCATAGCAGTATTTGTACATCTTCTCTCTTCTATTCTAAATGGATTCCCCCAGGGACCGGAGGTGTGTTACTGGTATGTATCTCCTTGAATAATTCCAGAATATTATGTTCTCACTTCTGTTCATTGGAGTCTGTGAGGCCTCCTACTGGTGGTAACTGAAGTTTGTGCAGGCTTGGCTCTTAGATTTGTGCTATTATACCTAGCTTGCTGATTTCAAGAAATGGAAATGTTTGAGTGTTCTAAACACCAGCTATGCTGAGGAATTGAATTTTGTTTCAGACCTCCTCTGAAGTATGGGCTCACTGATGGGATCTCTAGGCATCAAACAAGCTTGGGCTGAAGATTATGTGTAATTTGATTGACTAATGAGTGGCTTAAGAACAAAAGGCATGTTTATTTATACTTTGAGGTTCTGCTTTGGTTAGTACCACAAATAGGGAAATAGCAGTTAATTTTTTTAGGTTACGTTCTACCTCATTGGTCTATTATTGAAGGCAGATTCTTGATGTTTAACTTAGTTGTCAGCTATACAGTTAATTGTGAGTCATATCACTGTCAACCTTTATAGAGCAAGCAGCATGTTTAGTTCCTGCCACAGACTCAAGAGATGATGTGGATGTAAAACAATCATGTGCACAATATATGATTACGCAGGTCACTTTTGAACAGCAACTGTAGATAGTGCTCTAAAACAGAATGCCACAAATAACTCTTGCTCTGTGGAGATATGGAACAAATCTTCCACACATGAAAGGCTAGGTAGCAAACAGACAGTACAGGAAGAGAAACATAATACAAACCCAGTGTCAAGATACTAACTAGCTTTTAAAGAACTAAGCTGACATGTTAACTAAAACAGGAATACAGTAGCTATATTACTCTCTATTGACTATCCTAAACTATGTAATGTTAAATGTTTTGGTCTAAATCCAACTGCTAGTTCCAACCATTAAATTAACTAGTGATTGTTAAGTCAATCATTAATATTAATTCTGTGCTATCAAGTTGATTCCAACACATGGAGACCCTCTCAGAGTTTTCTAAGAATAAAATACTGGAAGTAGTTTGCCAGTCCCTCCTTCTGGGGGGAGGGGGCGTTACTCTGGAACTGTGCCAGCTTGCCCACCTTGATACAAGTGGCAGGACGTATACCTCTAACAGCCATACACACTATGAATGATCTTGCCTGACCCGTCTCCTCAATACACCCTAGCCCATTTTGCAGCTAAGTGCTCTGACCCACTGAGCTATCAACACACATGTAAACGCCATTGATTAAATAGGTCTACTGTAGTCAGGTCTAGTAATTAGATTCAGGCCGTTGTGTCACTCTATGTTATTAAGCCCCTTCAACTTTGTTTGTAGGTTCAGTTTCTTCCTCCTCCTCCCTCCACCATGTCTTCAAGTATTATTTCTAATTAAGATATTCCAGAATACCAACAAATTTTGTATTCAGAGCTTTGCTGTTATATTGGTTAAACATGGGGTTCATGAAACTGGATATATGGAGAAAAGATGGAAGAATGTCTGGGTATGAGTGTGCAACATTCACACATTGGCTCTGTACTAAGGCCACCTGTTTTGTGTTTTCTTTTGCCCAAGAAGTTGACAGGCAAGTTCATGCCCTTCATTCCAGCAGCTATTATTATTATTACTGGCACTCTCTAAAATTCAGTATCCAGGGTCAAAACCCCAATTGCCCTGCCTTAGTTATGGCTTTCTCAGAATGGCTTCCAAGAAGGCTGTTCCTAATTATTGTACAATATTATATGTGGTCAACAGTGATTGCACAAACATAAAAGCAGGTGCTCTGACCATCTGTCTATATCTAAATATGTAGCTGTTTTTACACTATGTTTAACACCTGAGGTCCTGCTCTGGAGGTGTTCTTAATGAAAATTAGCATTTTTCGTGGTGACCCTGAGGTTGTAGATCTGTCACCTGAAAATTTTTCATCCTTGCACCCTTCACTTTTAGAACAATAAAAAAATCTCATTTTTGTCATTTCCTTAATCTTAACCTCTTGCTGTGTAGTGCTCAATTACATTGTGTCTATAACTAACTGTGTTAAATATATAATTTAATGTATTGCATTTGATTTTGCTTCATTTCTTAAAATGTGCATGTTTTTAACCTGGAAGCTGCCTTAATGGCTCTTATGTAACTTGGAATGCAGAATAGAAATTTTCTAAAATTGATAAATGGATAAAATAAACTAGTATTTGAGTAACTAACACAATGTGGGTGTTATGTTTCTGCCCAACAGAATAACAATTACATATTTATACTGTGTCCTTTGGGGGGGGGGATATCACCACGAACCATAGCTTTTATGTGCCTCTTCAAAGTGCCTCCTCAGAACTGTTTTTAAAAAAACCAACTTATACCTCATCCATCTAGTGGCAAGCCACTACTCTAGGTGGCTAGAAAAAGTAACAAAAGTGTATGGACAAAAATTAAAATAATATACAGTGAAAAGCAAGAACCTACCCTAACCCCCCCTCCGTCTAAAACACATTGCAAAATCACAAGATGGCAAGGCTAAAAAACAGCTGAATCAAACAACAATTACCCTACAGTCATCAAAAAATAACTGCCAAATTAATATTAAGAAGAAGTAGGGGTTTTTGAAGGCCTGGATAAAGAGCTAGGCTTTGATTTGCTTTCTGAAGCTCAGGAGGGTGAGGGCCAATCACACCTCCACCAGGAGGGAGTTCCAAAACGGAGTGGCCAGAACCAAAAAGGCCTGGTTGACAACTTCCAAAAACCTCTCTTGGAGTGGCCGCCTGCAATATCAAAGTTTGGGAGATGTGGATGGGATGGGAAAGCGACCTGTGCAGAGGTGCTCTGACAGATAACAAGGTCCTAAACTGTGAAGGGCTTTTAAAGTTAACATTAGTAACATTAGTATATAAATTCATATTGTATTGCTCTTAGCCATAAAAACAGGAGGTGACTTTTCACTTTGTGTATGCCTAGCTACCACTGTCTGTGTTCCAATAGGCCAGCCAACAATGTGGCTCTAAGAGTCAAGAAGCTCAGCTAGACAGGATCAAAGAAGGAACTTCAGAAAAAACAGATGAAGACCAGAGGCCAGCTGTTAAACAAGACTGTCTGCAAATAATAAGTGATGATATCACAAGCATGGACGATGGTCAAGTAAAGGTTATACTTTTTCATTCACATTATTATGTGGAACTTTGTGCTGTTGAAATTCTCTATCCTGTTATGGTGTCTTGGCGTAAGACTGTAGCCTTGCCCCACCTGTGAAGCAAAAGAGTATCACATTAATTTTACAGCTTTTGAATGATGTGCAATGTCTGTGGTACAGTGGGAGATAAAGATTGGTTGCCTTATGTTTCAGACTAGGTTCTGACTGCTTTAAAGACAGCCATGTTGTTGTTCATGCAAGAACTCTAGTTTGACGCTAGAGGGAAAAGACAAGAAAATATTTTTTAAAACAAGCAAAGGCAAAATGGTAATTTTATTTTCAGGGTGAAATCTCTGAACTGCCTGTTTGTATTTTTAGACACAGCACTCAGTGAGACCTCTTCGGTCAGATATAAATCTTGCCTCAAGCGTGCAGAAAGAAGTTAACAGCAATCTTCAGAAAGCAGCCTGTGAGTAAAGTCTTCCACATAGCTTTTCTACTAAATTGAAATGTCACAGAAATACATGAGGATTATCACTAAAAGACAACTTATACTTTCAGATGTTCAGTGAGCATATAAGCAGAACATGGCTGAGAATTTAGATTTATTTATTTATTGAATTTGTACCCCTCCCATTTAGTCAACTGACTACTCTGGGCGACTAACAACATATAAAATAAACCATTTAAAATATAGAACAAGTAATACATCAATAGACAAGGACTCAAGATGAGAAAACAAAATAAATCAAGAGGTGGCTGGAGGGAAGGCTTGCCTAAATAGCCAGGTTTTCAGTTGGCCTTTGAAAATGCCCAGCAAAGGGGCCATACGAATCTCAGAAGGGAGGCTATTCCAAAGGCGAGGAGCCACTGCCGAGAAGGCCCAGTTTCTTGTTTTTTCCTTCGAGGCCTCCCTCAGCATTAGGCTCCTCAGCCTCACCTCCTGGCTAGATCGAGTGATATGAGTAGATTTGGGTGGGAGGAGGCGTCCCGTAGATCAAATCCACTACTGTACTATATTCTCCCTGTTAGATTCCAAGCTTTCAACTAAAGTTCAGAACAGGACTGCACCAGGGGATGGGCAAAGAAACAGAGAGTGTGTCACAAGCTCCTTGTTCCTTGAATATCTGAAAAAGAACCTGTTCAGATTGGCCATTTTGGGTTTAGGATGGATCAGGCTACAAAGGGTCTGTTGAGTACATTTGATATGTTCCTCCCATCCCAACAGCAAATGGCCCATTGTAGCTTGATCAACTGCCAATAAAGTGATTCCCTTGGTCATCTGCAGAGGATCAGGGGCAGTGACGAAGCCAGTTGGTAGTGCCTGATAAAATATTGCCAAATGATTTTAGAAAGGGGACATTCTGATATACAGTGGGGTCTTGACTTGAGAACTTAATCTGTATTGGAAGACAGTTCTCAAGTCAAAAAGTTCTCAGGTCAAATCTGATTACAAGTAAACAACACCACATATAATAAAACAAATAGATAGAAAGAGGAAAGGAAATTAAGTGTTGACAGGAGGGAAGGCCTGAACATATAACCATGTTTTTAGCTGGTTCTTAAATGTGCCCAGCGTAGGGGCTGCACAAATCGCTGGAGGAAGGTTGTTCCAGAGGTGAGGAGCCACCGCCGAGAAGGCCCGATTTCGTGTTCGCTCCTTCCGGGCCTCCCTCGGCGTTAGGCTCCCCAGCCTCACCTCCTGGCTCGTGCAGGTGATCCGGGTAGATCTAGGTGGGAGCAGGCGTTACGCCAAATATCGAGGTCCTAAACCGTTTAGGGCCTTGTATGTAAGCATTAACACTTTGAAGTCGACGCGGAAACGGATGGGCAGCTAGTGCAGCTTGGCCAGGATAGGAGAGATGTGTTGGGATTTCCTCACTCCTGTAAGGAGCCTGGCCGCCGCATTCTGCACCATCTGAAGTTTCCGTGTCAGCCTCAAAGGCAGCCCCACGTAGAGCGCATTACAGTGATCTAATCTTGAGATTACGAGCTCTTTGTTAGTGCCATTCCATTTTCTGCATTTCCCCCTCCCTGCTTCCCTTCCCTCATTCTGCAGTCATTGGTTTTGGAAGCTGAGGCTATCTCCCAGCTAAACAATAAGCATACCAAAAAGAATACCTGCCCTACTCCTGGATTAGAAAGGTGTGGGACAGCTTTGAAAAGGGAAAGATGGATCATTCTAAGTAGAAACACTTGCAAATTAGGTCTTTTTTTCCTATACTATCAACGATCCATATACCATATCTGTATGCCAGTATGGACAGGCATAAACTGTAACTTGGAAAGAATTAGTGAGAAGGCAGTAAAATTAAGTGAGCAAGAGAGCCGTATGTTTTTAGTCTTTGTCAGCTTTGCATATTTCATAAGCCTCTTTCTCCTGTTTTTGGCAATATTTCTTAACACACAAATATTCACTTTAAATTGTTTGCATTTCTTCTCCAAACTATACATTTTTGTGTATTTTCCTTAAAATTTGCTTTTTTGTATGCACACATATAAATATGTATTTTGAGACTGTATTGTAAACTTTGAAGAATAACCCAGTCCCAAGGAAAACAAGATTCCAATCTATATATTAGTCTGAAAAATGTAGGGTTAGGTTAAACCTGACTTGCTTAAAAATGTGGACTAAATAAAATTCTCCAGTACCTCTAATATAGTGGGATGTGCATACTAAAGGACAGGCACTTTCATAACCGCCAGGGCAGTAACTTGTGGGAGAGAAAAAGAAAAGCAGAAGGTACCATAAAAATAAAAATTGATTGTGTTTAAAAATGTTCCTGAAATTTGTCTTCATATGAGAAACTTTGGTCTTAACAAAGTAGAATTTCAATGCCCTTGAGGAGTAATATCTTCCTTTTCACCATGAAAACTCACATGGTATACCCCCTTACACTGTGGAGCAATAACACCAGTTCTGCCTGCTTTCTTTCTTTCTCTCTCTCTCTCTTTCTCTCTCTCTCTCAGTTAATGAACCCAGTTGTGTTGCATAGTATCTGTTTGGTTTGTTCCATAGAATAAAAAGCAGCATTTAAAGCAAGGCAATTTTATTTGGTCAAATAGCATGAAGGAAGCTGTTACGCATGTATAGAGATACCTGCTTTGCTCTTCGAACAGCAGCAACCTGATGCTAGGAGATCTTATTAATGAATATTCCATGTTATGTCTAGCCTGGCCTTTTATTAGAATGAGTGTGTTTCTATACTCATGTTTGTGATGTTCCTGTTTGTTACAGCAACAAACAGCGTGGATACTTGAATTAGCTTGTAATGAAGAAAACATTCAACATGTTCTCAACTATGTAGAATAGAAGTGCTTGAGAATATTAATGATGGACTTATTGGATAGCACATACAGGATATTACAATGTTTTGTCTTTCAGCTTCAAAGACTTGCAACATCATGAAATCCGTTGAATCCAATAAATCACTGACAACTGAGCTGAAGATCAATAAATCTCTGCAGCAAGTGAGGATCAGCATAATTTTCAAATTTATTATGTTGAACAGTGATCTCCAATGGCTGTCTCATCTTCTTTATATAATCCTCCTTTATCCTGTGCTAGGATAGTCTGCCACCCACACCTATACTGTGTTACATTTTGTGTATTGTTGCCTTGTGAGGCCTAGGCTTTTACCAAAAACCTAAGAACACCCTTTTCCAAAAAGGGATTAAATTAACCAACAAAAGGGGACGTTCCATTTTTCTAGTTCAGATCCCACTTTGATTCATCTGGATTTTGAACAAACATGTCTTAATGTTTTAAGGATCAGTCATGATTATATTCTGGAGCATCTATTCTTGTTCACACTGCTGAAGAAGTCATTTACAAATCCAGCTGTCCTTTATGCAGGGTGAGAAGACAGAGCCTCCAAATGTCACAGTACCAAACAAACTCCTATCAGTGCTTGATGAGCTGAGAACATCAGACATTGATTCCCTGGTGCCTACGCATGATGAGCGAGGCTGTTCTATTCCAGAGTGGAAGCGGCAGGTGATGGTACGGAAATTAGAGGCTCAGCTGGTATGCGAAGAAGAGATGGGCATGAAGGTACTTTAAAAGACAGAAGGGAAGGGGTCACAACAGTCTTTCTTAGCTAAAATTCTTGACTTCTTTAAATTTCCTTTTATTAAAGTTCTAGTGTTTTCACTTGTAGTACTTCACTCTAGATGAAATCCAATAGTAAGTCACAACTAGAGTCAGCCCATTACATCAGTGGAGATTTGGTGAGTCACCACTTATGTAAGTTCTGTCGAATCAATTCCACTTACTACTGGATTTCAGCCCTATTTCATTTGATAGAGAAGCCTTTATTTGATTAGTTTTCATCCCGAAATCAAACCAGATCACTGAATTTCTCTACAAAGAACAGGCTAGAAAACTTGGTATGCAGCATTCATTAGTGATAAATGTGTCCTGCTGAATATCAGTCTTAGGATATGTGAATCTGAAAGTAATTGCTACTCTTTATGTTTGTATGTTACTCATTTGAGTTATCTGTTTATGTCCAGCAATAATTCTGGGCAATGGTATTTATGCCTCACCCTCAGTTATTGCTGAACTCCCTCTTCTATCACTCTTGGCCAACAAGATACCGTATATGGCGAAAATAGTATTTCATCAATATCTGGAAGGCCTATGGTTCCCCAACCTCAGACTTAATGTTTCCTTTTCATAGATTTCCCCAAACTGGTGCCTTCCATATACAGTATGTTGGTCTATAATGCCCAGTATGGCCTTGTCTTTTGATCAATAGATCCTAGAAAGTCTACATCCAAATTAAAAGAACACAAGAATAAAATAATAATAGAACAACCTCAAACTAGTAATAAGAGGTCAAAAATCACAAACTGCTCCATAATTACTATGTTCCACTAGAGGCCTGTAAAAGTCTTTCAGTACCAGTGAAATATTCATGCGTGTCAATAGGTAATTTGGTGGGGGAGGAACGGGGTAATAAACTCCTTGTGTGAACTATGCCAAGCAAATGCTTGTCAAATCTGGACTAAAACCTAATTCACATACATACTGAAGCACATGGTTTCCACTTGGAAATGGAGCACATGGTTTCTGCTTGAAAGACAGCCTGCAGTTCGGCTCCACATTGCAACGTGTGATGTCAAGTGACTCCTTAGTTTCTTATTTGTTTTCAGCTATTTCAGCCATACTGATTTCAAACACCACTCTTCTCCAAAAGACCAGTTTCTTGTATTGATACAACTGCACTGTGAATGTCCTGACATCACACACCGCAATATGGAGCTACATTGCATGCTATCTTTCAATTAGAAGCCGTGTGAGTCACTGTATGCCTGTGAATTAGGTTGTAGTCCAGATTAGACGAGCATTAAGTTAGCAAAGTTCAGACAGTTTCAGTTCTAGAATTAGATGGATTTACTCAGTCTCACAGGCAGGAAAAGCTCTTACAGTAATTGCCCATAGTGTCCAGCCGTGGCATTGAAGGTATACAGTCCTATGATTTTCATTTTAGAAGGAATTCCACCTCTTGTCTCCACTGGACTCAGTGACAAATGATAGTACTTTGAACTGATCTTGTGACTCTGTTTATCAATCTTTTCTATTTACTTCTATTTAAAGTAAATTGGAGAAAGAGTCACGTCTTTGAATTTAAGTAATGATGTGATTCTGTGTCATTTCTGGGGTTTCTCCCCCCCCCTTCTTTTATCTAGGACAAGGGAAGCTGTGGCCTAAAGATGGATAACTGGCAGTACTCCCAAGCTCACAACGCCATGCTGGGTCCCTATGGGGAATTACTCACTGAAGATGACCTGCTTTACTTAGAGAAGCAGATTGAGAAGCTGCAGGTGAAGAAGAAATGCCAAGAGTATGAAAGTGAGCTGGGACGTCTGACAGAGGAGTTGCAGACCGTTCTCCCTGCTCCCATTGTCAATATCACAGTCAACTGTCAGTTTTTGGAACAGGGCTCCGAAGAGGACAGCCAGGAACTACCTGCCTGGTGCAATCACATGTCTGGCGTGGTTAAAAGCATGTCCTTGTTGCTCTCTAACATCAATGGCATAAAGGAAGAGGGAGATAAAGAGAAGGTCCCATATAAGCCGAGCAAGAGCACCAGTTTTTCAGGAGGAATGGCCAAGAAGGAAATCTTGGAATGTGGTGTCTCTGTAAGGGACCTGAGGGGTCATTTTGAGAAACAAGATCTTGCAGGACAATGCAAACCTTTTCTGCTCCCAGAGCTGAAGACTGAGCCCTTGCAACATGGGGCAGACCGTGAAGCAATTTCTTCATTGTTAGCAGACACCTGTAAGGGCAAGAGGAGCTCCTATGAGGAACATGAGACTGGAGACAAGGAGAATGCCACTGACTCTGGCATCAGCTGTGAGGAAGGCTCCTCTGAATCTACTGGTTCTCATATTTCAACTGGGGAGGTCAGCACCCTCCGAAAAGAGCGTATTGTGCTGCTTTTTCTTAGTCACTGGAAGAAATCTGCTTACACTCCTTCTTTGAAACTCATGGCCAAGAAGACTCTTGATGCCCAGCAGCCTGGAAAAGTGGGACTGGCACAGGTGATGGCAGAGGTCAAGAAGCAGCAGGCTCCTATGGAGAAACCTTTGGTGGAAATGAGCAGGCTTGGCCATTTAGTTAAGCAGAGATATGCTATCAAGAATCTGATCAGCCGCTGGAAGAACATAATCTCTCTTGTACCATCTCGTCAGATCAGGCGTCTCAATCACAGCCACACAATCTATTCTCCTGAACAGTTCTTGCCTTATATTAATGGTGAGCCTGTTGACTACAATAATTTAACTCTTGACCTGTTCATGTTAGGTTATTTCCACATCCTGGAGCTAGACCTCTGTCCTGAAGAGCGCAAGGCAAGACATCTTCTTTGCTTTGAAGTTTTTGACCACTTGGGCAGCCATCAGTGGGAGACAGTGCGTGCTTTCCACCAAGCAGTGACTGATGAAATTGCTGCAGGCAAAAGAAGCTGGGAAGATAGCTTTGAAGATATTAAGATGCAATTCTTTGGTAACAACAAGGGCCCAGCTAAGATTATGGAACTTAAAAGATCACCAGTGGAAAAGACTCTGAAACCATTATCCAAAACCAGAGTCCCAAATATTGAACAGCAGGATCATGGTCCAGGAAAATACTTTGAACTAGGCAGCTTTGACAATGATGAGATCTGCAGTTACATTGAGAGAAGTTTTGCTTTCTGGAAGGAAAAAGAAGCAGAGATCTTTAGCTTTGCAGGGGCAGGCTCTTTACATTAGTATTCTTGTTTGAGAATATGGATAAGACCTCAAATATACACCACAGAGAGGCCTATTGGCACTAAGCTATATTACTTAATGGATGCTGCATGGAATAACAAGACAAAAACATGTTTGCAGGACTCATGAGCTAAGGGGCAAATGGAAAGGTCCCAGTGGACTTTTAAAACTATTGTATGATGCATGGCTTGCAAAAGCATACAGCTAATGGAAATAATTAAATATAGATAAATACAAAATACAGGTCCTAGTAGCTACTTGTCTGCTGCAAAGCACCTTCTGGAGATGAGGAGTACTTAACCCGTCTTCTGCCTGTTCCTTTCTGCTCAACAAACACCCATTCTCTAACCAAGATATTTTACTTGGAAACGTGGGTCTAGAACTGTGTGGTGGTGATAATGAAGGGAAGGTAGACTGGCAGATTTAGAGTTAAGCAACCATAGAGTTAAGTCCATACCTACTGTGCCTCCTTGCTTCACTCAAGAGAAGGAATTATCAGGCCTTTATTACTCGTGGCTGTAGTGCAGTGACTGACAGGGCACTTACCACAATAGGTATTTATTTATTTATTTTATTGATTTATACCTCACCTATCTGGACCACCGGACCACTCTAGGCAGCTTTCTATGATAGATTTTTCTGACATTTGTTCTTTATTATTATGTTCTTCTGACATGACTTGAAGATGTGTATATCCATCTGTTTGTTTCTCAGATGTGTTATTGGAAGGTGTTCCTCTTAAGTATGTGTCTAGAAATTAAAATAGCCGTGAGCCTGATAATTCTCAAATCACAACAAATCCCATTTTTAGGCACTTTTAACATATATTTTACAACAGCTGCAGCAGCTTTGATTCAGAGACTGTGCCATCGTAAATTCACATAGAGGATCTTTGTCTGAAATGGTCTCCATGTGAAATCTGAAAACTTACACCAGAGAGCTCTGAAAGTGATGACATCAAGATTTAATTAATTTAAAGCCTAATGGCACTGTGAATAATCATTTTATTTATCCTTACACATTTTCAAGAATGGATAACAGCTGGTTTATAGAATTTGTTGTTTTCAGTATTGTAAATATACCAACAAGGGAATCCAACCTAAGAATGCTATCAAGCATGTTTCATTAACTGTTTCTCTTCTGGAATGTATTCTGGAGTGTGGGAAAGTTAATAGGAGATGCTGGTTTCGGAACGCTTGGAGTTGTAGTCTGAAATAGAAACTTTTCCAAGTTCTGGGGCCCTCTGATCATTGTAGTGAGTTGGGTGGCAGGAAGCAAAAGAAGACATGGCTCCTGCACTGTGAATAGCTCTGTGGAAGAGAGAAATTCAGCAGGGGCTGGTTGCATAGGCATTAAAAGTGCGAAACAAGACATATTTTGTCTCTGGCAAAGCATGTCTTATTGAACCATAAAGGTGTCCATCTCAGGCTGTGCCACTTTGTAGGCTTCCTGGACTGCCTATCTGACTAGACATATGAATATAAATATTCTAGTTTCTATTTCAAAGTCATTCCTTTTCCATTGTATTGTAAATTAGTTTTATCTGAACTGCAGGTTTAGGTAAAACATTTATTTCAATGGAGGCAAGAAGTATTACCATAAAATAGATGTCAAAAGAAACCATTGTACGTTTTCCTTTCTTTTCAATGAACAACAAAATACGCATTTTGACCCTAAAACCTTTTGCTTAGAACCACAAAACAAACAAACAAACAAACTGTATCATAGAGTTAGTTCAGAAGGGAACATTATGCACTTCCCTTGGTCTCTTACAGAAGATCTCCCTCAATCTTTATTGGTATTTTGTCAACATAATGAACAGTCAGAATCTTGGATTTATATTTCCAACATTTCCTTATAACCGACTCCAGTTTTGTTGCTCAGGTCCAGTTGCTCCCATAAGTGTTAACATAACTCAATCTGTGAGCTTACTACTGGAAGAAAGAAAGAAAGAAAAACATGAATGAACAGGTGTCTTTTGCTTTTCTATGACAATTTCTGCTAAAACTGTCAACAAGAAAATCACAATTTCTGCTAAAACCAGCAACAAGAAAATAACAGTGGTTAATATCGTGTTGCTTAGTATAATAAATTGCATTAAAGCAGGCCCATTTAATCAACAAGTATTTAGTGAGTGAACACTTATGTAAGTTCCACCGATTCAAATAGGCCTATTCTAACTGTAACTTCCCATAATAAAACAAGCTGGAGTTGAAGCAGGTTGATTTGAATCCACAGAATGTATGGAGGGCTTGTTGTTTAGTCGTTAAGTCCTGTCCAACTCTTCGTGACCACATGTACCAGAGCACACCAGGCCCTCCTGTCTTCCACTGCCTCCCATAGTTGGGTCAAATTAATGTTGGTAGCTTCGATGACACTGTCCAACCATCTCGTCCTCTGTCGTCCCCTTCTCTTGCCTTCACACTTTCCCAACATCAGGGGCTTTTCCAAGGAGTCTTCTCTTCTCATGAGATGGCCAAAGTACTGGAGCCTCAGCTTCAGGATCTGTCCTTTCAGTGAGCACTCAGGGTTGATGGAGGGCTTACCAAATCCCTATTGTGTAAAACAACAGGATTTCGGCCAATAAATGGTGTTGTAAACTTGATTTTTAAACAAAGCAACAACTTTTTTTACACTATAAGCCTGAAAAGGGACTGAATTTACAATCCTCAACACAACAAAACAAGGAGAAATCCCCTCCCCATTTCATCCATTCAGACCAGATCACAGTTCTGTCTACTTCAAGTGCACAGTTCACTTTCATATCTGCATATGTGAATGACTTCATGTGCTCCTTACTATGGTAACCAATCATAGCAGCATATATTTCATGAAACATAATTCTTGTAGTCATCACTAAGGCATCACTCTTGTTGCTAAAACATACCAGGAAGAGGTGCATTCTGTGGGCTGGGTAGGCTGAGTCACCACTGTGCAGCTTGCATATGGCTTTCGACCTCTGTGAATCCAGTGTCATATCCAGTAACTTACCTTTCAGATGGAGGGGGAAGTGATATCTTCCAAACCTCTCTGTGACTGCTGCCCTGGTCTATTTGTGGACATTCCAGAGAAAGAGTGAGGTGCCGCATAAGAGTCCTAGCGCCAAACTCTGCTGTAAGTAGCTAATTGGACTATATTTAGCAAACAACATTGGAAATGACAGACAGATTTGAAGGAAAGAAGAGTACTCACATCACTTTTTGCTTGAGTCATCATGACTGAATAACTGGGATGAGGCAGCTTGCTGTCCCTGCATCTTATATAGTTCTCAAATGGTCCTGTTCTGAATCGGTTTCTGGCAGTCTGTGAATCAGAAGCTAATCTTGCATCTGTTCTGGATGCCACTTTTTAGATCATCAGTTCACTGTGTTCCCCAAATACATATGTATACCTTATTTTGCACCATTCAAAAACCTAAGACTGCTAAGAAAGTATTATTCTTCCCTAGTCAACACGATTGCTATCTGGATCAGAATATGGTGTGAAGCTGTAACAAGCACTAATAGATTTGCATGTGAACGCAGCTCTATATTGGCTTGTTTTCAATATAACACCAAACCATGGTTTGTTCACCTTAATTCCCATTTGTCTGAATGTCTGAGATTGCCTCATACTCTGTTCTACATGTATTTGTTGGGTCTGACCTCCAGGATCCAGGTGAATACCCTCTCCCAGTTAGATCTAAGAAACTGTGCAGAGCACAGGTAAAGAACAAAGGTTGTTGATGGAACTTGGCCATGCTAATTGTTTGCACCCTCAGATCTCAGCACCTGTAAGTCAACCCATAAAATTAGACAGGTCAGTGCACTCTATTGATGTAATTGCATTAATTACAAAGCTGGAGGGCTAAATGATGTAATACATACAGTATTTAGAAGCAAAGTCCACTAAAGTTATGAAATATTTATATCACAATAGATATATATTTTCCTCGTCTCTTTTCTTAGATTAACCATGCTGCATTTTGTGATTAGTTACTATAAGGTAAACATAAACTTACATTCTGTAAATCTGCTTCTAAAAAATGCAACTCAGAGGAAACCATGCTCCTGGATGGAAAATGTACCAAGCACATGCAACACAAAATAGCATCTAGTCTGATCCAAAATTGTTGAATTGTCTTGCAAACTTGTAACAGTGTGCTATCAATGATTCCACTTGAATTGCCACTAATTAAAAACTTACTGCTCACATTCCTGGTTCATGCATTAAGTTGCATGACTAGTGTGTGATCAGGGATGCAAGTGTAAACTTGTTAATTAGTGGCAATTCACCACCATGATCTACACAGTTACACCAACATAAATCCTAAAGCACTCACTCCGTCGCGTGGATTCGATCTTACGACTGCTTGGTCTTCTGACCCTGCAGCACAGGTTTCTGCGGTTTAGCCCACAGCGCTACACAGTTACACCAACATAAATCCTAACAGTATTCTGGCCAATATCTCAGAGGACATCATGTAAAATTAAAATAGCGGCCAGCTTCTTACTACTGCTTGTCACAAAGAACTGTCAGAGGAGAGATGCACCAGAGTCCTGAAGAAAACTTTGGTCTCCCTACACAAGTGCCTCTTTGGTTTGAAAACATGTCTGGAACACAAAGGCCTGAGTCCTATTGCAGATTTACACTTGACTAAGGAAAATCACTTAAGGCTTAGTGGCAAATTGATGCTTATTAATGAGGTGTTGACTGTGTTCCTAAGCACATACACAGGAACACAACCATCAGGTTGCAAATTTACTTACACAATTCCTTGTGTGCAAATATAAATCTCTAACAGTATTCTGGCCCATGAGTGATTTTAACCTGAGCAACTCCCAGCCTCTTGGCATCCCATCACAGCCAAATTGAAACAGTCTGATCTGCTTCTGCTAGCCATATATCTTTCTAGGCTTTCTTCCAATTTGCTTATTGTGTGTTGCTTTAAGGGCAGGTGGCCTGGTAAGAATAACTGTCTAAGCACTTCCCAGCCTTCCCCCACTCTGGCTGTGAGCTTGATTCTAAATATAAACATATATCTATAGAGAAACACATTGGTTGCTACCGGCAGCCACAACTCCCTAATGAAACTCTACTCTGAGTGACTGTCATCTTCCAGAGAAAGGCAATCAGTCCTCCAGTCATTCACTCAGATCAACTTGCCAACTGGATGTAAAAGAAGTTAAGGTAAGGGCTGTTAGTTGGGATTTTTGGTAGGGCAAGGGGTGGAAATCGAGACTGAATAGCTAAAATGGATTTGGGGAGGGGAACTGTTCTCTCAGAACCCATATGGAAACCATTATTATAAAGTACAAGAAGGATCTTTGACATGCTTCTCTAGGATCTCACAGGGAGTAATATCAAGAAGCTCATCAGTGTAACACCACGAGGAAGAGGCTATTTAGGGGAAATGTCCTGGCCTTAAGGACAGTTTGATTTAATGATTAAATGCAGCCATTAGCATTCTTATTGGAACTGTTGTTACTAGTTGTTACCATGACTACTTAACATGTCATGGCACAGATTTCCAACCTAGGACTAACTTTTCAAAACTAAGCTGGGGATTTAGTAGAAAAATCCTTCCTCCCTTCTATTTTAATGTTGTATTTTTGATAGGAACATAAGAAGGACCATTGAAGAAATGTCAACAACACTTCAACTGTGTGTTAATGATGCCTCAGAATTCTCCACCATATTCTGTGTAAACCTTATCCAATGAGATTACGTGGTGTACAATATGCAGCACAAAAAATGGTGTAGTGAATATTCAGAGATGCTAACTGGACTAGAGATGGTGGGAGTTGTAAACTAATACATAGAGAGAGTTGGGGAAGGTAATCATAAATAAAAATAGATGTAAGGTTCTAAAAGTGTGGAGTTTTTTCAAAAAGTCCCATTGATTTAAAAAGATTTGCCACCTCTAGAAGGATACCTATGTAAAGCAAAATTATGATTCTATTCTTCTTTGCTTTCTGACTAGGATTCTGTAAAAGTTTGTTTTCCATTAGAGACACCCAACACCCTTTCTCACAAGAGTGGAGCTTTCTGGAGAACACCACCATGGTGAGGAACATTGATGATTTTGATTTTTGCCTTCCATCTCATCCTCAGTCCATTCTGGAAGGCCTTCGGACCTTACGTTCTAATCCAAAATTCTCAGATGTCACACTGATTGTTGGGGGGCATGAATTTCTCTGCCATCGCAGCATCCTCGCTCTTTGTAGTCACTACTTCGATGCTATGTTTGCAGGTGACTTCATAGAAAGTTTTTCAGCTCGTGTAGAGATCAAAGATGTGGATCCTCTCATTATGGAATCCTTGATTGACTTTGCGTACACAGGGAAGGTAACCATCAACCAGGGGAATGTAGAGGCATTAATTCGAACATCCAACCAGCTCCACTTTCCTATTATTCGTAAGGTCTGCAGTCGGTACTTGAGGCAGCAGATGGATGCAACCAACTGTTTGGGCATTTGTGAGTTTGGGGAGATACATGGCTGTCCAGAAGTGTCATCCAAGGCTTGGTCATTTCTGCAGGAGAATTTTGAGCTTGTGTCTCAACAGGAAGAGTTTTTGCAGCTGTCCAAAGAGAGGTTAATTACCTACCTGTCCAACAATCTACTCCAGGTACAAGAAGAGCAGAGTCTAGTTGAGGCTGTTCTGAGGTGGGTGAAGTATGACAAATCTACTAGAGCCATTCATCTTCCAGAGCTCCTTGACCTAGTGCATCTGGTTTCACTGCCAGATCAGTATCTGCAGAACCTCTTGTCATCAGAACAACTGATTCAGGAATCAGAAGCTTGCAAGACCATCATCACCAGACATCGGAGCACGGTCAGTTCTTGAAGCCAGCACAGTGTGGTTATCTGACTCTAGTTTCAGTCACTAAGGCTAGAAAAGAATGCAACGCAACAAATACAGTAAATAGAGTTCATGGAGCTCGAGTGGTTCCCACCAGCGTGCAGTAGTTAGTGTGTGCAGACTTTTGTAGCCCACTATGTTGCAGGTGAACAAGTTATTGGCTACTGATCTGACATTCTGATTGAAATGTGCTTGTTGTTAGGAATTGGTTGGCCCAAATGTCTGCAAGACAAGCTTTCCTGTATTTATTAATTAGCTATGGACTATCACATTTGATAGGAGGCAAAACTGTAGTGAACCTGTCTGCTCACCAGCTTTCTACCTTCTCCTCTCTCCATTCTCCCACCCATCTTTAAGGCCTTTCAAACAAGATCTCAATCCTGTATTCCCCGAATGGTGCTGACAAGGAGATACAGAATCCTTCTCATCTGTTTCTGATAAAGGCAGGGAAAGAGGCAATGGTCCAACTGCCTTTTTCTTTCCCAAATCCACCTACTGTAGGCCAGAAGCATATTGACTACCTAATCCTGGATCTGCTCTTAAGAAAGACACCGACACTGTTGTCTCTTAGGTCTCTACCAAGGTCAGTAAGGCCATCCAGTATGAGGTTTGGCAGGTAAAATTTGCCTTCACTGCGCCATTGGCCCTATGAGCAGTCCTTAATCTTTTTCTATAAGCACCCAAATTAGGCTGTTTTCTGATGGCTTATGCCAATTGGGACTGGTAGTGCAGGAGGCCGATGGAAGCTAAAGTCAAGGGTTAGATTGAGCCAATTAATTCTTGTTCCATCCTCTTCCCAGTCCCTTGCAATGGTACTACAGCACAATTCCTTAACATTTAAAATCTAAGTGAACTGAAGTATGGTCTCATATATTTTGTACAGTAGGCATTCATACTACCACACTTAATTCTTTGCTAGGGAAAAATGGGGTCCCTATCACCCTTTCTAGCTACCTCTATCCTCCAAGCCACATTTGGCAGGGGAGAAAAAGGAGACTTAGGTTCAGGGTAGTGTTTGCCAGATACATGTTTTCAGGTTACACAGATTCATGATCCATACTAAATACTCTGGTCCGCTCCTTTCAAACCAGGCCTGGAAAAGCTGACATTTTGGCCTATGAAGCAAGACTAGACTTTTGGCCTGCCACTATTCTTCTTAGGAACCAGCACAGAGATCTTTCTGGGTGCCCTGCTGACTAATTTCCACTAAGCAAGAGCAACCTTACTCTCCCTGCCTCCCCTCCCTTCTCATGCACAGAAAGAGTGAAACATCTGCAGAGTGCTTCTCACTCTTACAGAAAAAAGGTAAAATATTGCATATAGGGACAATTTTGCAATCCTCTCGTCAGCACTGCCAGTGGCTTTTAGATTCTGGAAACTGCCAAAACTTCAGGTTTCCAGGTTTGATATACACCCTTCTCCCTTGCAAAATAAAAACAAGGGCTTATGAGACAGATATAAAGTATTCCTTCTATCCTCGCATTCCACTTTTCTTTTTAGAAATTAAAATCTCCCAAATTCCTTGCTTACTTAACTATCCACAAATAAAAATGCAGTTTCCCTCATACACTCGCTATCCCCCCTCTAAAGTTATTTCTCTGCCCGCATAAAACAAAAATAAAATGAAGAGTTGCTCCTTGGGGCATCTTCTTCCTTATCTATATACATAAAATCCACAAGTAAAATAAAACAAATGCATTGTTTTTTCCTCCCCTTTATAATAGAATGGAGCTGCTCAAGCACTTATAAAACTGAAAGTTAAAAAGAGCAATTTAGCAATTATCCCATCAACAGCCTAGCACCTTGGCTTGGAGTAGGGCAGCCTAAGAATCCCTGGCCAGTCAGTTTTTGGTAAGAGCCCATTAACTAGGGGTTGTCAACTTTTCTTGCCTCTTGTTCCTTCCTTCCCCTTCTTTTTGGATTGAGAATCTTTCACTTTCTTGTGTGTCTGGATACCCCAAGACGCACTGTGGATATTTGAGACAGGATCAAGGGAGATTTGGCTAAATCCATCTCTGGGCTTTGTCACACTGGCAATAAGAACTGCTGGGTTTGCTTAAATAATTTTTTTTAAAAAAATTTAGCTATACTAAGCAAATGGAAGCGTGGATTATAATTGCCGAGGAATCATGTTTTTTAAATCAGAAGTAAGGTATTTTACTGAGCCAGCAGAGGGTTGCTTATTTTAACACAGACGTAAAATCAATTTATTTTTCATTGATCTGGCATATGCTAATGCCTCTCTCGGTATAAACTCTCTCTTTCCTCACAGTGCATGCTATCCACAATCACTGACTGCTACGGCTCTAGGCTTCTTTTAATATTTTATTTTTCCCCCAAGGGGGATGAAGTGAAGCTGACCAGAAAGGTTTACAGCAGTGGGTCCTGACCATTTTGACACCAGGGACCGTTTTAGTTGAAGACAATTCTCCGAAGGACTTGGGGTGTGTGGTGGGCGTCCGTACATGCGGGGGAGGTGCAGGTGTGCGGGTGTCTGTGTGAGTGGGCTGGTCGGGTGTGTGCATGTGCGTGTGCATGCGGGAGGTGGGTGGGCACCCATGCATTTTTACAGGGTCCAGGCAGGGCGTGTATGTCTATGCAGGTGTGTGCAGGGGATGTGTGCATGCATGTGGGAGGCATGTTAGGGCATGCATATGGGGGTGGGCAGTGCATCCTTGCATACATGCAGGATGTGTGTGGGTTTCCAGGCATGTGCACGCATGTGCGCGTTCCTTCGGCCCTTGAAAATCTGTCTCGGCGGCCTGATCCTTCAAGGCCACAGACCGGGAGCAGTCCATGGTCTGGGGGTTGGGGACCCCTGGTTTGCAGTATCAGGAGCTTTTTCACTTTGCAAAGGAGGGGGTAGTAAAAACTTTTTCTCTCTGCTGGCATCTAAATTTCCACTGTCATGTCAGACTATCGCTATCTCGCTAGGAAAAAATAACATAAAAACAAGTCTAAAAGCAAGAAGCGGTGAGTGGCTGTGGGAGGCAGCCAGTGGGAAGGTGGGTGGGCAAGTGCTGGACAAAGCCTCAAGTGCAACGATTCTAAATGGATTACAACATGCAAACATGCTGGCGAATGACATGATTTAAAATCTCATGTGTAGGTTCCCAAAGTAGTTTTAAGCCCCTACTTTATATCAGAGTAATAATTTCCAAAGTGAGCATGCAGAATGGTACAAAAACCATATAAATATAAATCAATTTAAAACACATCAGAGCTCAAAACAACACAAATTAGCAGTATAAAAGAGTCTTCTGTTGAATTTCGGATGAGCAATAAAAACTATAGTTTTCAGGGGCTTTTGATCCTTTTTTTAAAATTGTCTTTGATAACATTTGGAAAGAATGTTTTGTATCCATTTAAAAATGTTTTTAGTTTGCTTTTAATACTTTTAATTTATTGCTAGGCAGAAAGGATTTTAAAAAGAAACAATTATATACTAATGATTAATAGTTGTAATTATAAACCATCTACTGTAGTGGGAAGCCACTGCTTGTACTCCCTCAGGATACCTCATCAATATTAGGACAGCCTGAATTTGCTGCCTTCATCAAATTTGTATACAGTAATGATAGAATAGTTATAAGTTTTGGACAACTACATTCTTTTACATAAGGAGAATATGCAACAAATAAAGGGTTGGGGAAAAGCAGTAAAGGAAGACAGTAAATGATAGACTTCCATTGTTGTGACATTGTTTTCCTTTTCCTCCTCCTCCTTTCTGGAAGGTGGAGAACAGACCATTTGTCCAGCAGAGGCTGAAAGCTCTTCCACAGAAGCTGGAGGAGGTGCTGGTGGTGGTGGGAGGCAGGGCTTTGGAAGAGAATGAAGAAGAAGCACAACCACCTTCAATTTCCAGGAACTTTGCATTTTATAACCCCAAAACCAGTAAGTGTTTGACTCCCAAACAATCCCAGAATATTTCTTTCAAATTCAGAATTTTTTTTTTACTTGGAAACTAATCAGGAGGACCATGATACTGGGCATGGCAATGTAATGATAATTGCACTGTTGTGGAATTTAAACATGGTAGAAATAAACTCTTTGCTAGTGACTGAGATCAATTGTACACACTGGCCTTTTCTAGATGGGTTCTTATCACACTCATGGTATCATTCTGTCATGTCTTGAAAAGAAATCTGTTTCTAGACCTTGTGCTGCTGAGAAAATGTGTGTGTGTGTTTAGTCGTTTAGTCGTGTCCGACTCTTCGTGACCCCATGGACCAGAGCACGCCAGGCCCTCCTGTCTTCTACTGCCTCCCGGAGTTGTGTCAGGTTCATGTTTGTTGCTTCGCAGACACTGTCCAGCCATCTCATCCTTGGTCGTCCCCTTCTCCTCTTGCCATCACACCTTCCTAACATCAAGGTTTTTTCCAAGGACTCTTTTCTTCTCATGAGATGGCCAAAGTACTGGAGCCTCAGCTTCAGGATCTGTCCTTCCAGTGAGCACTCAGGGTTGATTTCCTTTAGAATTGATAGGTTTGTTCTCTTTGCAGTCCAGGGGATTCTCAAGAGCCTCCTCCAGCACCACAACTCAAAGGCATCCATTCTTTGGCGGTCTGCTTTCTTCATGGTCCAGCTCTCACTTCCATACATCACGACAGGAAAAACCATAGCTTTGACTATTCGGACTTTTGTCGGCAAGGTGATGTCTCTGCTTTTCAAGATGCTGTCAAGATTTGTCATCGCTTTCCTCCCAAGAAGAAGGCGTCTTTTAATTTCAGGGCTGCTGTCTCCATCTGCAGTGATCATGGAGCCCAGGAAGATAAAATTTGACACTGCCTCCATATCTTCCCCTTCTATTTCCCAGGAGGTGATGGGACCAGTGGCCATGATCTTAGTTTTTTTGATGTTGAGTTTCAGACCGTTTTTTGCACTTTCCTCTTTCACTCTCATTACAAGGTTCTTTAATTCCTCCTCACTTTCTGCCATCAGAGTGGTATCATCTGCATATCGGAGGTTGTTGATATTTCTTCCGGCAATCTTAATTCCGGCTTGGGTTTCTTCCAGTCCAGCCTTCCGCATGATGTATTCTGCATATAAGTTAAATAAGCTGGGGGACAATATACAGCCTTGCCGTACTCCTTTCCCAATTTTGAACCACTCAGTTGTTCCATGACCAGTTCTAACTGTTGCTTCCTGTCCCACATATAGGTTTCTCAGGAGATGGATAAGGTGGTCAGGCACTCCCATTTCTTTAAGAACTTGCCATAGTTTGCTGTGGTCCACACAGTCAAAGGCTTTTGCATAGTCAATGAAGCAGAAGTAGATATTTTTCTGGAACTCTCTGGCTTTCTCCATAATCCAGCGCAAGTTAGCAATTTGGTCTCGAGTTCCTCTGCCTCTTCGGAATCCAGCTTGTACTTCTGGGAGTTCTCGGTCCACATACTGCTGAAGCCTACCTTGTAGGATTTTGAGCATAACCTTGCTAGCGTGTGAAATGAGTGCAATTGTACGGTAGTTGGAGCATTCTTTGGCACTGCCTTTCTTTGGGATTGGGATGTAGACTGATCTTTTCCAATCCTCTGGCCACTGTTGGGTTTTCCAAACTTGCTGGCATATTGAATGTAGCACCTTAACAGCATCATCTTTCAAGATTTTAAATAGTTCAATTGGAATGCCATCACCTCCACTGGCCTTGTTGTTAGCCAGGCTTTCTAAGGCCCACTTGACTTCGCTCTCCAGGATGTCTGGCTCAAGGTCAGCAACTACATTGTCTGGGTTGTCCGGGATATCCACATCTTTCTGATATAATTCCTCTGTGTATTCTTGCCACCTCTTCTTGACGTCTTCTGCTTCTGTTAGGTCCCTCCCATTTTTGTCTTTTATCATGTTCATCTTTGCGCAAAATGTTCCTCTAATATGTCCAATTTTCCTGAACAGATCTCTGGTCTTTCCTTTTGTGTTATCTTCCTCTATTTCTTTGCATTGTTCATTTAAGAAGGCCCTCTTGTCTCTCCTTGCTATTCTTTGGAAGTCTGCATTCAAGTTTCTGTAACTTTCCCTATCTCCCTTGCATTTTGCTTCCCTTCTCCTCTCTGCTGTTTCTAAGGCCTCGTTGGACAGCCACTTTGCTTTCTTGCATTTCCTTTTCTTTGGGATGGTTTTCGTTGCTGCCTCCTGGACAATGTTACGAGCCTCTATCCAAAGTTCTTCAGGCACTCTGTCCACCAAATCTAGTTCCTTAAATCTGTTCTTTACTTCCACTGTGTATTCATAGGGGATTTGGTTTAGATTATACCTGAGTGGCCCAGTGGTTTCTCCTACTCTCTTCAGTCTAACCTTGAATTTGCTTTGAGAAGCTGATGATCAGAGCCGCAGTCAGCTCCAGGTCTTGTTTTTGCTGACTGTATAGAACTTCTCCATCTTTGGCTGCAGAGAATATAATCAATCTGATTTCGATATTGCCCATCTGGTGATTTCCATGTATAGAGTCGCCTCTTGTGTTGTTGGAAAAGAGTGTTTGTGATGACCAGCTTATTCTCTTGACAAAACTCTATTAGCCTTTGTCCTGCTTCGTTCTTCTTACTGAGAAAACACAGTATGAGAATTGAGGGGCTGTGTGTGTGTGTTTGTCAAACTCTGCATTACAGACAATTTCTCATTAGAACTGAAATCATGTTAGTGTTCAAGAGAACGAAATGTTTCTAGACCTTGTGCTGCTGAGAAAATACAGTATGAGAATTGAGGGGCTCTGTGTGTGTGTGTTTGTCAAACTCCGCATTACAGACAATTTATCATTAGAACTGAGAAACATGTTAGTGTTCAAGAGAACGAAGGCCTGTTAACAGATAATAGAAATAGCCTGTAAGAGGGAAATCCTTCACCATTGTGAACCTCTGATTGTTAGGGCACTGGCTTCTCTCACCTCTGGCATTATACAGATTAGCTTGCTTTATCTGGCAATTGGATTTAAGGATTTAAGCACAGGATTTCTTTGAAATTTGATTTCACAAATGTAGAAAGACTGCCTCAGTCATCTCCCTGCAACATTAACTATGGTCCCGGACACCTTTTTCTGTCCTCAACCCTGTCACAAAACAAAACAAGCTAATCTGCCAATAAAGGGGTGAGAGGTAAGAAAAGCCCCTGCTGTGCAAACAATCACAAACAATGAGTCATTAAGGAATCCCCTGTTCCAGTGACATTATCTGTAACAGATTGGTGAGCCTCCAACTGCTCAGAAATGCAGGAAGGACCCCACAAGGTTCCACGGTTACAGTTTAACTAGTGTTTCCCTGGTTTACTATTCACAGCTTTGCTTTCTATTCCAGAATGAAATTCTTCTGCGATTAACAATACAGTATTATCTCTCTTGCCCTCCACTGTGTTGGCCAGGAGTTTTTGTTGATTTGTTATTTGTAAGAGCTTTCCTCATTTTGTCCCTTTATTCAGTAAGTGAAAGAGAGCAAGAGAGGTCTGTGTTCTTAACATTTAGACCTGTGATATCATCCATACCCATTTTGTGTAACAAACACAGCACAAGCAGAAGCAAGCAAGCCTTGGACTTCAACCTAGAATTATGCCACTCCTGGCATAAGAGATATGCAGATGATCTAATGCTCTGCATTTCTTTGGTGTTTGTCACTGCTGAGCAGCTGCATTCATCCCAGGCTGATGTTCACATCAGAAGCTGTCAGAGTGGCCTGCAAAAACCCTGTATCAAAGGCAAGGGAACTACTGTAGTTTAGAGAAAGGGACAGAAACTTGAGAAAATATCTTTTGCATCATTAGCATAATCTGGGCAAGATGATGTCATCTGAGTGCATTTTGACAACACTGTGAACACAGAAACAGTTAATCATAGATAACTATTTTCAAACATATGTAGATATAAACATGGTGATTCTAATGAATCTGAAGAGGAATAAGGTTCAGCACTGGAAGCACTGGGTAAACCTCTGACCTGGAGTGGATCCTCTGCCCCACTGGCACTGGAGCCACCAGCCTCTATTTCTTACACATGCCCTTCTGTCTCCTCATCAGTGGTGAGAGAAGAGCACTCACCAGGGATATTAGTAAGTCTTTGGGTCTGAATCTCAAGTCCAGGTCCAAGTCTTTGGTACCAAGTCCCTGTTAAAAATAAACCCCTTTTTCTCCAGGAAAGAAAGGAGGGGTGAGTGGGTTCCAAGTCACAAGTCAAGCCTGAATCATTGGGGGGGGGGAACCTGAGTCAAGTTGCCAGTGCACAGTCAAGTCCAGCTTGACTGTAAATCCTACAACTCAAGTCCCCATCCCTGGCACTCACAAATAAGGATGGAATTTTTTTTTTTAAATTACAGTTTTGGCCAAATACGTAATCTATATTAATCCTTGCTCCTGATCTCAAAATAACAGCATTATGCAGAAGCAAAAGTACTCGTGTCACATTGTACAAGGCAGGAGTCCAAAAAAACATTAGAGCACCATATTAGCTAGAATAGTCTGAGGTCAACCTACATTGCTCTGTGCTGGGTAATCCCCTCACTATGGGTGTGGTTGCGCAACAAAATTTTCCTAGGTTTGCATTGGGTTTAGCAGACTTGAAATCTATTTTTAAAAAATCTTTTTATATGATATATAACTGAGCACACATTTTTTGTACAGGCAGTGGATTTTTTGGGGGGGGGTGGAAAGCGAGTTTTTAAAAACACCTAGGGCTTGTTCATTTTAACTCGATGATGTGATTTATTTTGAATTGTTTTTGCATGTTTGCTTGTCTTTGTTGGAGTAAATTGTGTCTGTGGGGTTTGTCAAGAATGGGATTGGATGCCAGGATTACAGGTTTCCGGGCTGTAGAGTAGCCTTGCAATCCAATCTGCTATACATTTTTTTCTATCTGTAATTTAGTGCTCTCCTAGTATGAAAAACAAAACAAATATTAACAATCACACCACAGCAGAACACAGCTTTTGTCTCTACCACGCATGTCACTTCAATCAAGGAATGATTTGGCAGTGGCAGTAGTGGCAAGGGGATGTGAGAGGCAGCCAGCATAAAGACGGGTGGGCTCAGGACAAAAAACTGTAAAGAAATTTGAGGCTGATGTGCCAGCAACCACAGTGTCTCTGTGTAGCTATGACAGTGTGGTGTTTTATTTTAGTCTTTTGGTTCTGTCTTCTGAGACTGTAAACTAACTATCAAATCTGTAGCTTATCTTGCTTGCCAATCTGCTTTGAAGACTAATGCCACAATATCTAGTGAAATGTATTGGATGAGGGAGGGCTTTTTACATCTTCCTCAGTTCCCCAGTTTTTATAAGATCTACACCTGAAGAAGAGCTCTAGAAGGCTTAGCAGCTCACTTTGTTTCTAACACTTTAGTGGCCTAGTAAAAGAATTGTGAGGGATGTGCATTTTGGATTTTTTTGGATTACAGTTCTCAAAATTCTTCTTTCTGGGAGTCCCACTGGCAGGACCTAGACCTTTGTGCTCACCTTTGTGCCAGCTCACATGCCTTGGACAGGCCTAACTTCCTGTCTGAAAAGGAAGCTTTCCAGCAACCATTGGGAGAGCATCTTTGTCAGACAAGAAGTTAGCCCTATCCAAAGGATGAAGCGTGCCAGCAGGACCTTCTTCCCTAATGAGCACAATTTAGATGTCTGTAAAGTCTGGGTCCTGCAAGTGGGACTCCTAGAGAGCAGAATTATGGAATTTGTAGTCCAGAAAATCCAAAATACGCAACCCCGGGAATTATTCAGTTCAGATGTTTGTTTTTAACACTTAGATCAAATGGCTACTTTTCTTATTTTTTTTTTCTTACACAATCTGTTTTCCCATTTCAGAAAAATGGATTGCTTTGCCTGATTTTCCAGATTATAATAAATGGGGCTTTTCTGTGATTGCTCTGAATAATGATGTTTATGTCACAGGTAAGGCTTACACTTTTCTGGAGGAATGTTATTACCAAACCTAATAACCAATTTGTGTGAATGTTTTTACTGGGTTCCTGTTCCTATAGTTTATTATGAGCTTAAAAAAAAAAATCTAAAACAGAGAAAGTGAAGTTTAGCACTCAGATCTCATTGCTGATTAAACTTGAGCTTAACCATTATCCCCCATTTTAGCTCACATGTTTCGCACACTGATTCTACTAATTGTAGGATGCTTGAGAGAAGCAAAAAAATGAATGAGGATGAATGAGCATTGATTCTGAGGTGCTTTAAACTGATGGTGGTGGTTGTTCCGTGCCGTCATGTTGCCTCAACCTCTGGTGTCCCCATGAATGAGCAATATCCAAAATAGTCTGTCCTCAACAGACCTGCTCAGCTCTTGTAAACTCACTTCCTTTAGAGAGTCAATCTGTCTCATATTTGGTCTTCCTTTTTTCCTGCTGCCTTCAATCTTTCCCAATATTATTGTTTTTTTCCAGGGGATCTTGCTTTCTCATAATGTGCCCAAAATATGACAGCCTGTTTCATAATTTTTTTCCTGCAGAGATAGTTCAGGCTTGATTTGCTCTAGGATTCACTTGTTCATCTTTCTAGCAGTACAGAGTATCTGCAAAGTGGTTCACATATAAAAAGAGCCATCGTTTGGAGACAGAGCATGTGCTTGTCATGCGAGGGGTCCCTAATTTGGTTCCTAGCCTCTCTTGGCAGCGATAGAAAAGACCCTTGCCTGAAATTCTGGAGAGACTATGTCAGCCAGCTCAGCCAATACTGAGCTAGGCAAACTGCTCAGTTTTGATCTGATTTAAGACAGCCTTCTTCCTGTTTCTGACTTCAGGTGGCTCCAGAGGGTCACAGAATGACACATGGTCCACGACCCAGTCCTGGTGCTTCTCTCTCAAGAAGGGTGCCTGGAAGTCCATGGCTCCAATGCTAAAGGCCCGAACAAACCATGTCAGCGCTGTCCTTAATGGAGAGATCTATGCCATCGGTGGTAAGGAACAAGATGCTGAGAAACTTTGTTTTCCTATATGGGAGTCCTTGGGAGGAGGGCATAAGAGAAACCTGACAGAGTAGTTTCCCATCCCAAAATGTCCAAGCTGAATTTCCAGGTGTTCCTTCACAGTCTGGAAGTGGCCAGAGGAAATGTATGCTGAGGGTTGGCAGAGGGAAAGGCAAAGCGTTCTGCTGGGCTTGTGCAAAGGGAAGGCTGACATCTAGTAAAGCTTTTTCTGCTGGTAGCTGGCTGTGCATGAGGTGGGAAAGAGTGGAAGGTAGGGGAGAGCCTAATTTCTAACTCTGTGGTTTTACATCTGAGGAAGTGACAGCAATAGTAGAAGACTTGATGTTTGTTCACGGGGAAGTTTGTAGTCAAATGCTTGGGGCACAGAACTTCTTATCTCTTAATAAAGATGAGTCCTGTTCAGTTTGGACCCTTTGTTGTCAGGGCATTGTAAACCCCCTGTGCTATATAGCTCAGAGATGGTAAATGTTACTTTTTGGGCTACAACTTCCAGTATCTCATGGCCAGCATGGCTACTGCTGGGGTTGGAGGACTTGTAGTCCAGAAAAATAACCAAGTGTTGCTGCTGTCTGAAGAACTGATTTTAGGCTGAAGTAAACACAGACCTCAAACACACCTGGTCACAGGAAAATGCCTCTTAGACACTCATTGATCAGGTCACATGTCTGTAGGCCTCAGCTCCATTCAGTCATTCTTTTATATTCCTCACATGGTCTCCAGGCACCACAGTGGACGTTGTGGAGGTGGAGTGCTACGACCCATACAATGACAACTGGTGCTTTGTCAGCCCTGCCCTGAAGTATGTCAGCAACTTTGCCGCTGCTGGGTGTCTTGGGAAGCTGTACCTTATTGGCTCTTGTGCTGTCAAATACAACGCCCTGACTCTGCAGTGTTACAACCCTGCTGTTGGTAAGAAGGAACAGAGTAGGACTGAAATGAGAGAGACATTTGCAGTTTAACCAGCCGAAGGGCTCACTGAGCACCCTTAGGCCTTTCTGTTTGGAAGTCTTTCTGTTTGGCACCAGGCTCTTTAATCTCTTTTTGTGCTTCTCGTGTTCTTGCCATCACCACTATTGAAACTGAAGTCCACTACCACCTTGCCTTATTGAAATATTCTACAACTTGCAAAATGTGTATTTGGTATTCCTCTTTTCTTCCTGCCTTCAACCTTTCTCCACATGGGTTTGGGTTTTTTTTAATAATGACATTATTTGTCACATTTGTGAAGCATGCTTCTTTATTTAGTTTGGAGCTGAGAAAAGTAACTTTTTGAATAATTTCAGAATACTTCTGCTGGTTGTGGTTTTTTTAGGAGATGTAAAGTTATCTTTCTCATAACTGACCCAGTTGATTCATGATATTACATTATGTCATTCACACTTCGATTCTATTTTATCATAAAAGTATAAACAACTCTCAGCTGGTTTCAGTTTGAGCCTTATAACTCATTGAAGTGTGACTCTGGTTTAGTCTGAGAGGGACCTTGGATAACATTCATGGGACATGTGCATGTCATATGATAAACAACTGCAGCACTTTCCATTTGCATCTTCTGTGATGCTGGCTGTCGCTCAGCATGCCATGTTTGCTGCCATCAGGGCATCTCATCATGTTGTATTCCAACTGTTGATCATCTCTCAAAATTCCCTGATGGGTACTTATTCTCCTCTTTCTTTTTAAAGCTTCACATATGTAGGTGCATATGAATTTTGAAAGTAAAACTGGCTGGAGTAAATGGTTTAAGTTTTCCCCATGCATGTATGATGACTTTGATCAAGACTAGGATGTATGTGCCCATCTGAAAATGAAAAAAAGAATGTGATCTTAATCAGAATGCTATGTATTTAGCATTTCATTGTCCTTGAAATTGCAAGTTTTTACTTGCTTCCTTTTACCTTGCTGTTTACTTGAGAGGTGCCCATACTCTTTCTTTGGTTGCCAATATGTTATGTGTAAATTATGGACGTATACATTGATTTTAACCCACGATAATAGTGATGGTAATTGTATTAAACAAATGGGCAAGTTCCTTTGTTAATTCTCTTATGCTCTTCAGGTGACTGTGGTCTCCCCTCAAATGAGTGCCTCTTGTCTATCTTTCAATTATTTTTAAAAATTATACCTCTCTAGTTTAGTGCTATGTCAGATAAGCACTGAAGTTCCACAGGTTGCTATATTAATTTAATGCTATGTCACCTGCCAAACAGTTTTTTAAAAATTGACCACCCCATCGTCAACACACCTGTCTCTGTCTCTTTGGACCAGGAAAGGTGATCACACATGCCAGAAAGTGAAAATAAGCAAGGCAAGTGAAATAGCTAAAAAGAAAAACCACCCACTACTAGTCTTTGACAGCAGAACAAAAAAGCAATGAATGCCCATTTAAAAAGCCCAGGTTTACCTGCAGTTAGCTGTACAGCTTGTCATTGACAGAAAATAAGCCAACACGTCCAGCACAAACTGTAAACTGCAGTGTAGTCACATCCTCACTAATGTTTCAATTTACATTCATCTTCCTTTTAACTCTCCTCTTAGATTAGTCTGTCCTTCTGGTAAGATTTTTAATACATAACAATGTTTTTTCCCCAAGGATGATGGAGTTTCCATGAAAATATGTTTGTTGTTTGTTTGTTTTGTAGATGTCTGGAGTGTAATTGCATCTCCTTTCATCCCTAAGTACCTCTCTGCTCCCCGATGTGCTTCATTACATGGAGTAATCTACCTTGTTGGAGACAACACAAAGAAAGTTTACATGTATGATCCAGATGTTAACATATGGCAGAAGGTGGGTATATGGGAAGTTCTAATTTAAAAAATAAATAAAATGGGATAGAATTAGCCTCAGATTATGGAGACCTGGGTTCAAACCTCCATCTGGCTATGAAGGTCACTGAGTGATATGGAACCAATTGCCATACTTGGCTGTTTTAAAGAAGAAACCTGCTTATTCTGTCTTGCTTTTTCTTAGGTAGAGCTGGCTGACATAAAATTAACAATCGAAACCAAAGACATTTAAAAAAAAAAACATACTGGCTGAACTAAGAGTTCAAAGACATCACAACCCCCTACCCCAGATCACCCATCACAGCTCTTGTGTGTGTGGTGATTGCTATTCCAAAACCAAAAGCCCACTTCTACTCAGTTAAGTCTTAGGGACCTCCCTACCCAAATGTTGAAATTCTCAAGTAGCTTGTGCTAGGGTCTGTTGCATGAGTGGTTGATACCCTGGGTTCCTGACAGTTGTGAGAACAATGAAATAAATGGAAGTTGAAGATAAAGTGATGGTAAACTGGACATGGAAATCACATATGGTGCTCTGTTTCCTTGGGCAGCTGCAGAATATATAAATAGCAAATAAACATATTACATTCACTTTTTAAAAAAGTAACATGAAACTGATGCCATACATGAATTTTTGTAGATTTGAATTGCCACATCTTTCTGTGATATATTTAACTGAAACATAAGCAACTTTGCAAGGAACAAACAACACCTCATAGCCTTCTTCTAATTATATCTGCACAGAAATAGCACACATGATCTTATGGGGTCATTGAGGAAAAGCTATAGATGTTATGTTTCCGTTCCCTTTGTCAACATGTACATATTCACTTCCCATTAGATGTAATATGTGAAAAATGCCCTAAAAGAATTATTGCCATTTCTGTTGATGATCTTTTATATAGAGATGTCCAACCATGGTCTTTGATGCACAGCCGGCTGTGCATGTTTAACAGTGGCAAGAAGCCCATTCCTTGAGCTCAGGATATCCCAGACAGAAACACAACGTGGGTCCTATTTCCCTAGCTTCTTGGCTTCAGTGAAGATGTGTGTAATGTTGTTGGAGGACCGGTTTACGTAGCGTCACTCTGAAATCCTGCTGCAGCTGTTCGCATGGCGTCAGTGCTCAGCTGACCATGAAGTGCCCACTCCTGTCCTGAGGACAGGTGCAGAGAAGATCCTGCCAGCCTCTCCCTTTCTGTAGATGTATGATTAATGGTTAGTCCTGTAGGTTTCCAGCCATCCATTGGTTATGCTTCTGCCAGATATGCTTCTCTTTTAATTCTCTCATTGTCACTTCTTAACACCAAACAGTTTCTCTACAAGCAAGTATTTCGTTGTAGAGAAATTACAATCATGTTCAATCTCTCCAGTTTTGCTATTTTCACTGAATTCTCTAGGGCAGGAAAAGAGGAGTTAAAGCAAGGGCATATAACTCACCCCAGGTTACCGATGTGCAAGGGGAGACAAAGGGGACTGCTTTTTACCAGTTAATAAGCTACACCCACAGTAGCCAATCTCTTTAGACATGTCTGAAGTATGGACCTTTTCCATTTAGTGTGGGTAAATGAATATCCAGCCTGCCTCTATCCAATTTTGCCCTTTATCTATTGAACTGGGATGGAACAGATGTTTGTCCAGGCATTGTGCCTAAAGAGGACATTTTCTTCACTTAAGGTTTCACATTTACGTAATCTACTTTTTTTTTTACAATTGATCACTGCATTTTATTATAGTTACTCCCTGTTTTATTTTATTATATTAGTATGCTTGCATGAATAGTTTTTTTCCACAATTTTGTATAGTGCCTGAAAATCACTTTTTGATAAGGAGAAACTAAAGAATATTTTAAATAAATGAATATGTAAATTAGGATTGTATGTGAACCAAATTCTGTTTTTTACTTTTTTTAAAAAGTACCCTGACAAGGGACCATATGTTTTAATGTGAGACCATGGGAATGGGGTGGGGTGGGTACTGCTGAATGCCTGGCAACTCTTTGTCTAACTGGCCCACCTCTGTGCTTCCAACCTGAGTTTACAGCCTCCATTTTAAAACTTGTTTTAAATAAAGAAGTGTGACTTCTACATCTGGCTGTGATTTCTGAAACTTTTTTGTTTCTTTCACACCACACTCAGATCTGTGATGGTCAGGCAGATGGACCCATGCAGGGTCAAAATCTAACTTATGATTGTTTTAGTGGCATAGTAAACAATTGTTTTAGTGGCATATTAAACACCCATTTCTACCTTTGGATTGTGCACAAGGACCCAGGGGTGTTGGCAAGTCTTTGGACCCGAGTCCCAAGTCCATATCTTGGTGCCCGAATCCCAAGTTCAAGTTTGAATCCTTAGATCCAAGCCTCGGGTCCTTTTGCCACACCCTTCAAGGCTTGGGACTTGGGATTTGGACGCCCCGCAGAGTCCATGGCCAGCTCCTGGAAGGGAAATCAAGTCTGCTGTCTCTGAAGATGGCGGTAGTGGGTGGTGGCAGCAGGTAGGGGAGGTCCATATGAACTCGACAACACAACTTGGACAAAGGTCTGAGTCACAAGTCACTCCCCAAAACCCCTGAGATGAGATTAAGCCAAGTCACCAGTGCGACATAAGTTGGACTTGACAGTGAGTCTTGACTCGTGAGTCCCCATCCCTGCAAGGACCACACCAGTTTTTACATTTCTTTTTAACACTGAGGAACAAGGTGCTAAGAACATTGACTAGCAGCATATCTTTCAACCACTAGAAGTCACTACCAGTTCTTTTTTCTTTTCTTTTTTTTTGTCCAACCAGCATAAGACCACGCCTCCCCTACCAACTAGGTACAAGGTGAATGTTAATGTAGCTTCTTATCTGTGGCTATTGCTGCAAAATGTCTGACACCTACTCTGAAACTGCAATACATCCTCCAAATGAGAATGATGTCTGTTCTATGTTTGCAGGTGCAGCAGCTTCATACTTTGCATGAAAACGGAGGAATGGTACCTCTTGGAGGGAAACTTTTTGTCACAGGTGGCTATTGGAAGGGTATGGATGGCGACTATCAGGTGGAGATGGAAATATATGACTGTGCCAAAGACATCTGGGCAAGGGAAGGGGCCATGCCATGCTTATGGCTCTACCACAGCTCTGCTTCTATCTTTATGGATACTTCAAAATGGAGGGAACCTTTCGTGGGAAATGGTTTGTGACCAGAGAGAATGGAATAAAGCTTCACTGCTCATCTGTTTTTGCCATACCTATGGATCAAGAAGAGACTTGTTTTTATTGTCACAGTTTTACACTCTTTTTTTACCTTCACTTTCTTGTTCTGTCCTTTTAATAATTTATTGTTTTCCACCACACTAACTAGCCCATACCCCACAGGTGATAGCTTGGTTCACAACAATAAGTTAAATGCACCAGGTCTGAGTATGAATGGACAGATTATAAAGCTGTCAAGAGGAGAGGATTGAAATGAAGACCTTACAACTGACATATCCTCAGAAACAAAATGCAGTGTGAACACTACATTGCTCAACATAAGGCACTGAAACATACAGTGCCAATGAGACTGAGGATTCATATTCCCTCCAACTTCTCCCTTTGTAAGAATAATATGTGAACCAGGAATGGATAGAATGTGCTGTGGAGGCCACTGCAGTTTTGAAAATTGCTCACTGCAAGATTATGTTACCAAACAAATGCTATGAATACAAAATCCTCATGTTGCTCAAGAAATGTGAGAAAAAGAGCTTCACCGCTAGACTCAATTATTTGAAGTCCATTGACCTCGTTGAGTATGCTAGCTATTGGCTAGTGTCTGGAAAGGAGTGATGTTGCCCCAGATCAGAACTAGAAGTTTGCTCATTTGAGGTTTTATTGGACTGGGTCTAGGATTGTTTCTAAATGTAATGAAGTACATTCCTGCTCAGCTCAGTCATTTTGCATATTATTTTTGCTAACTGTAGTTCTGAAACAGGGTCTGATACATGAATATCAACTTCTTCCTATTGGTCACTAGAATTAGTATCTCTGATCCAGTAGTCTGGGAATAACTTCATCTTAGTATAATAAAGTATGTAGTCCTTTTTAAATGTTACTGCCGCTGGTGCTGGCTCAGATAACTGCACTGCTCAGAGCCTGTCCAGATGGACAGAAGACAGGGAAAAAGCATGCTCCTCATGGAACCGATGCTGTCATTGTCTAGTCAGCAGGAAAAACACACAAAAAGAACAGCATTGACCCAGATACTTTTACTTCCATCTGAACAAGCCCTTGGGGTCTTCTTAGGTTTTTGTAGGTTTTAAATGTTGGACAATCATAAATCCTTCCACCATCAGGCTTGGTGTGTTTTATACTGGGGTACGGATCATGTAGGCCTTCAGCTGTGAGTGCACCTATAAGATTCAGCCAGCATGTTAGGGAACATGAGATTTGTAAGTCCCTGCCCCATCCATGATAAAAGTCATTGAATTTGGGTAGGGGATAAATATCTTCAAAACTAATAGTTAAATTACTGTTATTCTTGGAAGAAGTTGTGTTCCTGGGAAGAATACAACTTATTGTTGAAACTAAACATTAGAATGGATCAACTACAGGAAATTGTGAGTTTACATTTTAAATACTCATGCTGTAGCCATTTGGAAAAAAAGGAAATATCATCTTAATCATAAATGTATCAGAAAGTTACCTGCATTCCTGTCTGACGAAATGTGGTTCAAATGTGATTTGTCTGTGGCAAAGGTGAGGAATTTTTGATTGTCCAACAGTCCCTTGCCATTAGCCACACAGGATGGGGCTGATGGCAGCTGAAGCCCAAAAGATAAAGATGGTAAAACATTTTCCACCTGTTGTCTAAGAGGATCAGAACCTGAACAAATTGCTGTAGCAAGTCAGAGCAGCCAGAGAAACAGGCTTAGAGACAAGCATTTGACTTTTTGAGATGAAACATATTTACAAGAACATAGCAGGGATCAAAGCTGAACTGATCATATTGCTTTATTTATTAGTTGCATTTGTATTCCATCTTTCCTGCAGTGAGATCAGCATGACATACTTGGCTGTCCTGTCTCTATCCTCACAACTGCCCTGTGAGGCAGGCTGAGAGCCAGTGACTGTCTCAACATCACCGAGTGAATTTCATGGCCAGTTGCAGATTTGAACCAGGTCTCCTTTGACCACTATACGATGGTCCTTAGGAGAAATCTACTGTAGATAAGCAAATTCTTCACAATTAATTAGTTGTGACTAAGTCTTATGGATGCAACTAACTCTATCAGATAATGCCTTGTTAGCCTTTCATTGTAAATGGTATCTTATGAGTAGATTAATGCATGAGTAGATTAACTGCAATTCATCTGTAGCATATCAGTGGGTCATATGTGTAAATGTACTGTAGTTAGAAACACAGTCAAATCTCGCTTTTATTGTCTGTGATATGAATCAGCATACATGTCTCTAAGAACTGATGTTGCTTTAGTCAACAGACAGTAATTCATTTAATACACAAATATGAATTTATTTCATTAATTATGTCTTCTACTAATAATTACTATCCCTTGTACTAAGGCTGATGAGGACAGTGATCAGGTCTAGTAGCCTACCAGTTATTATTAATCTTGATTAAAATAATAAAAACAGGAAAGTTTAATAACTGACCTTTTGAAAGCATTTTTCTGTCATGGTGTTATTAAGGACACGAGTAGAAACAGTAGAAGAATTGTAAAAAGAGGCTATCAGAATTCAGAATGAGTATGATAAACTCAGTTGAAAACAGTCAGATAAAGTGCAGTAAATATCTCTGTTAAACATCCCTGTTCATTTTGATTTAGGAAAATTTTTCCAGATTGGAAGAGCTGAAAATCTGCACTAACAATGCCTTGCATACATTTTTATACTGAGTTGTGAACTGCAACAAGCATGTCACTGTGCCTTATAATTTCCCCCCAAGAAAACAAATAAATAAAAATTAATCTTACATCAATGTGACTGGTTTTCTGTTTACATACCAACATCTAGTTTCATTTTTTTCAAATGTTATACCATTTTCAAATGTTATTCCATTTATGTATGTTATCTATTTAACACACCCTTGTGATTCATTCATCAGCCAACCTATCATGTAGCCCCAAGGGCTGCTGTTTTCACTTTATTGTCCTAGAGTGCCTTCTAGAGCTAGTGCCCTGAATTTGCAGACACCTTCCTCTCCTACCTGGATACTTCAACACTGGCAAAGGCAATGGGTGGCACTGTGTGGCTCTTTTGAGCATGGAGGTGGTTTGGGCTGTCACATTCCCACAACACATTGCCCAAAGTGTGTGAGTTGGGGGATCTAACTCTGATGCTCATGTACTGAACTTCGCTTCCATTGCAACAAATGGAAGCAGAACAGTACAACTAAGGAAAATAAACCCAACAAAGATATGTATATTAAAACACCAACACACAGTTCGTTCCTTTGTGCATAAGCCTGGCAAGATGTTGGTTAAGACAATACTCCTGTATGTGGATGTCCTACTTCACCTCTACAGCAGTACAATTGCTCTGCTCAATGAATTACACACCGTTCAGAATGAGACTGGTAGAAAATTCAGTGTAGGATACAGCGGCAGAAGAGCTACCCTGTTTCCCCAAAAATAAGACCTAACCTGAAAATAAGCCCTAGTATGATTTTTCAGGATGCTCGTAATTTAAACCCTACTCCAAAAAATAAGCCCCAGTTAAGTGAAAGTCCGCCCTCCACCATTGTGCAGCAACCAGAAGATGACATGACTGTATTTGAATAAACATAGATTTTTGTACATGAAAAAAATAAAACATCTCCTGAAAATAAGCCCTAATGCGTTTTTTGGAGCAAAAATTAATATAAGACCCTGTCCTATTTTCAGGGAAAGATGGAATTTACATTATTTCAAGTATTAACTGTATATTTACTGAAAAGAATAGTGAACAGCCATTGAAGCCCTCTGCTGAATTCTGTTTCTCTTCCTGCTTGATGTCAGAGGGTTTCTGACAAGCCCTTTTGCCTTGCTTCAGTCCTCTCCGTCCCTTTATATGGAAGCTCAAACTATTGGGGTGGGGTTGGGGAATATTATAAAGTGAGGTACACCCTGTCTACAATAAAAATAGTACATGAAAGGTGGCCAGCCATAAAGCCTATGGTGTAATCTAGTTCAATGTTTTCCTCTGTGTTTTGATGCCCAATGGCAGTTGAGCAATAACAGTCCACCAGAACATACTAACAGTCAAAAACATTTATTGTGGGATTTTGTTTTGTTTTGCTTTGTTGCATGTGATTGTCCCAAATCATATGTTTGTCACAGCACATGATCGTTTGTACTTATGTACCTTGCCTTTAGAATGTTCTGTGACTGCTTGTTGAAAGGTGAACATGACCGCTAAGGAAATTCCATTATGGGAGGGGAAATAGTGAGTTCATCATAGACAACACACATTCCCTCGTGATATCTAATTTGATCCTCTGGATACACATTGCATTACTCCTCATCTTCATTCCTGACTCACACACATTTGCTCCTCATTGGTTATTATTGACTTCTTGAACTGGAACAGCCACCACACAAGGAAATTCTATAGCTTAAAAGTGGATATTTGTACACCATAATCCTTACAGAGTTCTCATCCAGAAATCCTGCCATCAGGAAGAACCAGAAGCTGTCACAGACTGCTCAGTCACTTTCAGTCCGACTTCTAGACTGGCTATGCTACTGAGATGGCTTTGATGACCTTAGAGGATAATCTGACCTGCTACCTGAACAAGTAAGAGTCCTCTTAAGTGACATCAGCATATCTCTCAGCCACCTTTGATACAGTGAATCATGGTATACTGTTGAAGAAACTGATCTGGGAGTAGCAGTGATTTTCATTTTCCATCTGCAATAGGACCCAGCAAGTGACGGTGGAAGACAGCTCATCAGCCTCCTTGGAAATTTCTTGCGGAATTCCACATGGCTCAGTTTTAGTATCAAGCCTCTTCACTATACACAGGGCACAACTATGAGAGATCATGTATAATTCCACATGGCTCAGTTTTAGTATCAAGCTATACACTATACACAGCACAACACAACTATGAAAGATCATGTATAGCTTTTGAGTTGGGCGCCATCAATATGTTGATGACATCCAGCTATATCTTCCATTAACTAAGCAAACAGAGATGGCCATAGCAGTCCTTATGCATTGCCTGGAGGCTAAGATTGAATGGCTGAAATTTAACAACCTGAAGCTGAATACAGACTAAACACAGATGATGCTGGTCTGGATCAGCATATGACTGTCTGTCCCTAGTCTCTAAACATTCTCCTTCCTTGAAGAAGGCAGATGTGGCCATGTTGATCCATGGTACCATAGCACTGAGACTAGACTATGGCAATTTGCTCTATGCTGAACTACTCCTGCAACTCAAGACAACTCAGAAGTTTCAACTGATGCAGTGTGTGGCAGCTAGGCTACCAAGGGGTGCCTCTGTCCATAATCATATGACACCTAATTTGTGAAATGTACATTAGCTGCCAGTGGTTTTCTGGGTTCAGTTCAAGATGCTGGTTATTACCTTTGAAGTTTTGCACAGCATGAGACCCACATTACATAGTGTGGAACTTCTATCCCATAAGCTCCTACACCAGTTGAGGTAATTCAGAACGGCTCTTTTAAAGGTGCCAGTTGTTACAGCTGTCCATCTTGAATAGATTAGGAAAATATCTTTCTGTGTTGCTGCCCCAATACTTTGAAATTCTTTCCCTAAGTGTCTGCAAAACACAATGTTTCTGAAGGTGTTAAGGAGGGCATGTGCTTTGCTTAGCCTTTGGATGCTGTTAGATTCCTATTTCACTATTTTCGTGATGAAGTATTATGCAACATAGTATTATGTGGTGAAGTATATAAGCTAGAACTGTTTGGTGGGTTTGTAGAGGTTGGTAAAGTTTTATGTGTTCTTAACACTTATGTGATGCTATTAGATTGTTATGTTTTGTTATATTTGGTGATTATTGAATTGTGCTGTGTTCCACTCTGGGTGTCGTTGGTCAGAAGAAAAGCATATAAATAAAAATAATGAATGGATGCATGCATGCATAAATATGTATATATTCATACATAAAATGTCACTTTGATAAGGAGACTCCCACATTTTAGGGACCAAAGTATATTGGCCTCATTTTTCTGCACTTTAAAATGTCTGTGGTGATCACAGGCAGAAAACCCCTCCACTCTGTAGTATAAACACATGTCTCTGGTTGCTGTGTAGCACACAAAGGTATATGTATTGCTTTCCCCATAAACTTCAAGGATATTTCAAAACACAGTTGTTTCTGTAGCAGCAGGAATGTATTTTAGAGTATTCAATTATTTTATTTTATATTCAAGTATTTCACCATTATATTTTTTAAATTGTTTCTTTTTAGCTAATCTTGTCATGAGCCAGTGTGTCAGTCCCTAGTTTGGGGGTAAAGGCAGGATATTAATTAAATATTTAAATAACTAATAATAACCAGCTCCAGGAAATGGTCCCCACAGAGACCTAAAGTAATCGGTGCTGTTACAAATACCTTAGTATATATATTAATACAGTATTTATTTGCCATCATATTTCTGTGAGGTCTACTCTCAGGCAGGTGGGACATAGACATTGTAACTTATATACATACACTTGATATTGCAGTCTTCATGACCAAAATATGAACACGGATTTCCTCTTAGTGGGACAGACACTTTTCCTACCACACAACAAAGCACTCGTGTAATGTGATTAGACGGGGATGACAGTCTTTAGGCAAAAGGCAGTATGTTACCAAGGAAGCCACGTCCACTCACTTCCCTTTTATTATATACTGTTTTTGAAAACAGATGGCTTTTTCATTCCCATGACTTCATCGGCATTAGTCTTTCCTTCAAGGAAAAGAGAATGAGAGAGAGAACAGCTTGGTTGCATCACTCTGTTGGGAACAGCGGGCCAAGGCAATGACATGAGAGCACAAGAATGAAGCTAAGATTTCACACCGGCCTGAGGAGGAGGGGGTGGGTGAGGTGTTTCTTCCTCTCCCTCTCCTACACTGTAGTTCTATGTGGGCATCAAGTCATAGCATTTCTTTAATGTAACCCTAACATCTGATCCTAAAAGAAAGAAGGGCTGATCGTGCAATCTAAAAAGTCCTTTGAATTCATCATCTAGTTGAAAACACTTACCCAAATACTAGGAGTAAATTATAGGTCAATATGTTGTGGTGAGATTTAGATTTAGAGATGTGTAACAGGGTGGGCAGAAGTGGACGTCCCTGTCCATGCCTCACTATAGCAGACCCTTGAGGCACATAAAAATGTACATACAACAAAAATGCCGCATAGAAGGGTGCGGATTATTCTGAAGCTGGTGAGCAACTATACAGGTGGTGAGAGGAGGAATTCCTCACAGTCAGATAGGGTGCCTTACTAAAATCAGGTCTTGGATACAAAACAGAACACATTGAACTTAGACAGGGGAAAATCCTGAGTGCCAGTCACCACTTAGCTTTAAATCTCATTGAGTGACCTCCACCTAACCTAACTTAGAAGGTGGTTGAAAGTACAAAAAGTATGTGCTCATGCAGGGAAATCAGAGATTACATTGAAAATAAAACAATGTAACAGTCTGGTGGTGGCAATGATAAATCTTATTGTTTCAGGTAATTCAGTAGGACTCCCTTATCCACAGGATCAGCATCCACATAATACAGTAGGACCCCTTATCCACAGGATTAGCATCCACTGATTCACTTATCCTTGATATGAAAATATTAAAAATATTTTAAAAAAAACATCCAGGAAAAAATAGTTTCATGTGTATTACCAGATCTGGCTACTAGAGGGAGCCAGAGAAGCCAGAGATTGTGCTATGAATATTTATTAGTGGAGAGTCATAGCATGGTCTCCAGCATCCTCTAGTAGCCTATAGCATGGTCTCTGGCATCCTCTAGT